AGCAACCCTTTTTGCTTTTAACTCAAGAATTAGGGTTTGGACTCTTGGGTTAGACTACTGACCTAACTACTAATTAGGATTTTATACTTGTCACTTAGGGAGAGAATTTCGCGAGTCAGCCATTGAGTGTGATTTGATACCTTCAGTCTAAGATGATTTTCCTTCTCTGTATCCGTGGTTCGAAGGCACCAATGTCGGCCCACTAGTGAATGTTGTAGTATGATGATTGTCTTCATGACAACTGTCAGTTATGCATGTATTTGCTTGATGACTCTGTGATTCTTTCGATACGATATTATGTAATAGTGGTATGGGTGAAATAGACCCGGTTATTGCAAACACCCATATATGCTTGACTGTATCCAGTCGAAATAGACCGAAGGGGATTGCGAGCACCCAAATATGCTTGACTGTATCCAGTTGAAATAGACCGAAGAGGATTGCAAGCACCCAGATATGCTTTACTGTATTTTTGTATGGTATGTGGTAATTTGAGCTTACAGTTTTTGGTTTATGCTTCAAGTATTTCCAGCTCGAATGAGAATAGCTCGACCTAATCGCACCGCATCCATCTATGATTTTCTGCATTATGAGATTTTGGGAATTTATGCTCTGATAAAACGTTGCTATTATACACCTTCGACTGTTTTGATATGATTATCATATCATTTGAATGAATTTAAAAATAAAAATTTTATCTGTATTTTTGGGATATTACAATTTTTCGTTTCTAAAAAAGAAAAATATATGTATATACAGTACAAAAGAAAAACATATATATATATATATATATATATATATATATATATATATATATATATATATATATATATATATATATATATATATATATTATATATATATAATGCGCATAATGATTGAAAACTTCAAAATCCATGTGCTTAGATGGAACCAAAATAAAAGTTACGAATTAATAATCTTCATTTACATGAATGGTTATATGGAAAATGAATGATTAGGGCAACACATATTTGAACCAATGAAAACATAACAATATATCACTTTAGGGTAACTGCATAAATAACTTCTATAATACATTATCTGTGAATAAAAATATAGACACATATCATTTGAGTTTTGGTTCCAGCATATGTTGTCCTAGTTATTCGTTTTCGATAGAGCTCAATATATATATATATATATATATATATATATATATATATATATATATATATATATATATATATATATATATATATATATATATATATATATATATATATATATATATATATATAACATTAAAATGTGGATGAATTCGGATATTTGTTGATGTTTTTAAAAAAACAATTTATAAAGTCATTTCATAAGTATGGATATTCATCGATGCATTTGTATATGCGATATTGAGTTTATTTTCTTTGAAAAAAAACAAATATATTAGTATTAATATATTATTAATATTCCATTTAATGGTATACATTTAAATTTGAAAAATATATGTAGATATTTTGTATTTAAAAACCGAAAAAAAATATGAAAGTTTATTAATATACTAGGTGTGAGACCCATGTATTACATGTGTTTAATTAAAAAAAAAACAAAATATAAAATTTGAAAAGTTTGAATTTATAAGTAAAATGAGAAAAATTTGAATTATTAAAGATAATGAGATTTTAATGTATTGAATACATTACATATATAAATTTTTTTTAATAAATAGTTTACATATATATTACCTTACACATTAAATGTAGAATTTTAATTTAATAAAATGAAAAATACAATAAAATGACAAGTGGAAAATAAAAAATTTAAAAAATCTAGAAAATGTCATGTGTCCAAATAAATTAGAAGAAGACATGTGGCAAAAAAAAACATTCATTTATTATAGTAAATGCTTTAAGTTTAAAAAATATTTGAAATATCATCCTTTTATCATACACATAGATGCATAATATTGGCTTTCTATTCTCCATATAAATTCATATCCGTATAATATTTTACTTTGTAATATATATATATATATATATATATATATATATATATATATATATATATATATATAATATATATATATATATATATATATATATATATATATATATATATATAAAACGTATGAAAATTACATAGTTAATCACATATAAATAAAATATTTTACCGAAGTTTTTATATAAAAAAATAGTTGTATTTTTAAAAAGAATATTATATCGATATAATAAAATGTGAAATTTATGTGGTCGAGAGTCGTTATTGCCTTATTAAAAGAGTTGTATTTTTCAAAAAAATGGTTATGATTGATGAGAATGCTTTGTTTATTGGTGATTGGAAAAGGCAACCAAGAATGAGCATTGGACCTGAGAAGCTAGTGAGAGTGAGACCTGTTGTTGCTGGTTCTCGCTTCTTTAAACGTCCAAACTCGTGGCTGTGGAAAGGTGATTTGACAGGAATTTTTTTGGTTCAGTTGTTGAGGAACCTGATGGCACAAAAGTTGTATGATGGTGGTACTTTACAAAGCATCTTTTGGGTAACTTGGATTCCTATAAAAATTAATTGTTTTGTTTAGAGGGAGCTTTTGAACAGGATTCATGTAGCTTATAATTTGGTCGCTAAAGAAATTGTGCTTAACTCTACTGTTTGTGCGATGTGCAGAAATGTTGAGGAGTACGTTGACCACGTGTTTTTCTCATGTTCTTTTTCTTCTTTGATTTGGAATTGGTTTTCTTTTTAGTGTGGTGTGATCCCACTGATTCCGAGTTATATGGCAGATTTCTTATTGTGCTTAAAAGCCCCGTTTATTGGTAAAAAGCGGAAGAAACTCTTTTTGGCCTTATTATATACGGTTTTGTGGTTCATTTGGAAGATGAGAAACTCATTGGTGTTCAACAAAAACAGATGCTCCCTTTTTAGAACGACAGATGATATCCAATTAGCTGCTTATAATTGGTTCAAACATAGGTTTTTGTTTAAGTCTATTTGTTGGTTTAATTCGTGCATGTCTCATTTTAATACTTGTATTTTGTAACCTTTTGCTAGCTTCTTGCTATTTCTTCAATGCATTTGTCGTTCCAAAAAAACCTACAATTATATTGTGTTATTAGGTTACTATTGAAATTTCTTACTAGAATGTCATATTTGCACATCTATTCC